GCATCCCACCACCCACTCTGCTGATAACGTCGATCAGAGCGGTACGCTCGTCCAGAGCTCTTTTTTCAAAAGCCATCCGAGCAGACTGTTCATCAGCTAGAAGACGTTGGAGTTCTGCCTTCTCTTCTCTGAGTGATTCCTGCTCAGTCTGCCAGACGCTCTTCTCGAGCTGGAGGGCGTCCTTCTCATCCTGAAGGGAATCATTCTCCTTTTTCAGGACATCTCTCTCTTGCTCGGCTTTGTCAAGCCGAACCAGCACCTCGGTATTCTTCATGGCAAGGAGGTCGTTCTCTTTATTAGCCACCTCCAGGCTGTCAGAATACTTTCGGGCCCTGGCGTTCCCCATTTCCACCTGCTTCTGCATGGCCATCATCCCAAACAATGTCTGCATAGGTGCACAATAAGAACGGTTAAACCAATAGTCAGAACGGGAGAAGGCAAGACCAAGTAATATAAGAGAATTCATGAGTTAGAAAATAAAAGTCACCTCCATAGCAGATTGGGGAAAGCGACTGAACACGTCCTTCTGGGAAAGGCCCTTTGCCGCCTCAATGTCCTTCGGAGTCCACATGCTCCTGTAGTAGGCCATAGCGGTCTGGCCATCCTTCAGCATGGTCTCGTTCGGTTTCACGAACGTCCCATCCGTTCGAGTGTACCGAGGGGCCCATGGCGGCAAGCTGGGGATAGAAGGGGGGCCTGAAGCAGAAGCAGAGCCACCAGCTGCAGGAGGCCCAGAGTGAGAAGGAGCTCTGATCGCTCGGTGCAAGAGAGTACCCGGCCCAGAGACTCGGGTCCTTCTAATAAGAGGCTCCTCCTCAGGGTCGATTTCACTGTCAGGATGAGGCCTTTTGCCTCGCTCTTTGTCCCGACCGCCCCCCGCAGCAGCAGGAGCTATGGTAGCTGGGGAGGGCGCGTTCTGGTTGGCCGCAGGGGCGCTGGCAGCAGGGTTAGTAGCCACTGCGCTCGGGACAGTGTCAGATATGGTGGCTGAAGAAGAAGCCGACGCTGGAGAGGAGGTCGCCCCAACAGCAGGAATGACTGGGGGAGTATTTTTCCTCCTGCCAAAAGAGGGAATCTGCAGTCTGCTCATATTGTAGCCGAGTGATGAGAGCGCAAAGAGGTTGTCTGAAGTGAGGAGATCCGAGCAGGAAGGAATATCGTTCAGAACGTATCTCTTCAAGTAGTTAATCCTATCCCTGCAAACACTGTAGCTCAAGTCATCACAAGGTATTCCCAAGGAGCGGCATAAGTAAGTGCAAAAACGAGGAACGCATGTTTCACAGGGGCAGTCGTGTTTATGGGATTTGAATTTTTTATAGGAGGAGACAGAGCAGACACCAAAGGCGCTCGGGATAGGGTAATCCTCTGCAGCCGGCGAAGACCAAGCCCCACTAATACCCACTATGCTATCCCTCCAACCCTTTTCAGATTTTATTGTGTCAGTGCATATGGACATCTTCTCGAACGGGTAGAGGTGGTAGAAGGGCTCGTTAGTACGGATCTTACTGACCTTATAGCACAGAAGGAGGTCTATGAGGTCAAGGTCCAGATTTCTGTCACGCATCAATAAGAGCATAACAGATATGATCCTAAAGAAGTTGGGGTTGACCTGCAGAGGGGATATCCCCAATCTGTTGAAGACGTAACTAAAGAAAGGGTGCAGAGGGAACCTAACAACATTCAGTTGAAGGTTTGTGAATAAGACTTCGCCGGGCAGGAGGCCGGCGCCGGTCGTAATATTAACGTCTTGGGGGCAAACCCTAACTACGATGTTGTCAGGAAGCCTAAGTCTCATACGAAGGACACCCAGATCTACAACCATGGTGGAAGTGCAAGAAGAATCTAAAAGAGGGAAAATGGAAGCCTGCCGAAAGTAAAAAGAACGAAACTAACCTCGGAGGACTGCAAGATCGCTGGGAGAATGACTCTCGAAGGATTTCACCGGAAAAGGCTTGGCACAGTTCTAGAAAGAGGGAGATTTGGCTGATGATGGAGACGGTAAAGGGAAGTGAAGTGGAATTCGAGAGCATTATATAGGCAAGGGGGCCCGAGGGCCGAAGCGTCGGGAAGGCAAGAAATCCCTCGAACCCCGGAACATTGATTCTGGATCTGACCGTTCGCTCCCCCACGTGGTTATCTCGAGCCGTCAGCGTCATGATGAGACGCCATCAATAATTACCCCTTATTAAATAAGGGGCAATTATGGGGGCAGTTGAGGAGGCCCTGGATGACATGGGCCAGGTCCGACTCGCAAAACACAACCTTCAGTCCGAACAGCTGGGTCAGCCCATAAAAGGACACTGCCATATGGGCCGAGCGGGAGTAAGCCCATCAAGAGTGACCAGGGCTTACTGAGGAATAGGCCCAGGTCCAGCAATTAGTAAATATCTTGTAAATATCTTGTAAATATCTATAAATAGGAGTTGGAATGAAGAGGATGGGGATCTTGATTCGGGTTGGGGTGTAAGAATTCTAGAGAGAGAAAGAATAGAAGGAGTTTCTTGCATCTTCAATTATTTTCATATATATATATATATAATAAATCTAATTTAATAATAAATTATTATATGTAAAGGTATATTAGTAACTTCACACTTAATAAAGGTGGGGCTGAGTGGGTTTATCCCATCTCCGCCCCCTAACGAGAATTCATAATTTGCCTCTATTTCTATCCTCATTTAGCTAAAAAAAACCCATCCTCATTATATATGAGACGAAGCGGGGCGAGACTACGGCGGAGATAGGAAATTTGCCATCCCTATATTCAATGTCCTTTTCACCAGAAAAACCAGTTCAAGAAATCCAACCCTATCTCCGCATGCAGCATGGCTGGTCATCAGTGAAGGGGTAGTGACAAGACCAATATATACAAATTTTAGATGTGGCCCCCGTGGTTGTCTTTTGTACATATCTGTGACGATTGTTACATTATAAAAAAATAAAAAATCTTTTAGAATGGTGGGCCCCATTGTTCGAACATAAAATTAAAACGAGTTGGGCAACTGCGTTTGACATAATTTAAAGGGATAAATATGTAATTTACCCTAAATTAAATGATGGACATCATGCGCGAGTGTAATTTACCTAAATTAAATTATGGACATCATGCACTTTCGAACAACATTAAAACGCCACTAATAAATAATTCAAAAATTCAATGTCCTTTTCACCAGTAAAACCTGTTCAAGAATTTCAACCCTATCTCCACATGCAGCATGGCTGGTAGTGACTAGACCAACATATACAATAATATATTCCTCTTCCTTCAAAAAATTCAGTACCCTTTGGCAATAATAAACCATCCCTACCACCTTGACTATTCAAAATTGGCTCTCTCTCTAGACTATCCAATGGTTGTAAGAGTCCCGTAACATGGAAAGACGTCAAATTTAAAATACTAAAATGATCTGTACTTATTTAAATGAAGTCTAAGAGAGGTTTTATGCAAATTTTTCTTTAAAAAATGTATATAATTGAAAATTTTAAAGACTTAAATACCCATCGATAAAACTATCTCATCTTTTAAAATTATTTTTCATTGATAAGATTAAAATTAATACAAATAATTTACTCGGAATAGTGTTGTTAATAATTATGTTAAAAAAGTTATATAAATGGATTATATTTTGGATTATATTTGAATAAAAAAAGAAAACTATTCGATGCACTATAAGAAAATGAAAATACCTTGGAACATTTTTCAAAATTTTCTTAAATTTCTGTTTTAAAAAAATAAAATAAAAAAGAAAATAAGACATAAAATGAAAGTCATTTTAAAGAAAACTTAAAAGTTTTATTAAGGGGCATTTTTGTCATTATAACACTACTTTAATGGTGTGTATTTTTTTTAAAAAAAAGTATATGTCTATTTTTAAACAAATTAAAAAGAAAAAGAAAACTTAATATGAAAATCATTTTTAAAGAAAAATCTATTAATGGACATTTTAGTCATTATAACCCACTTTAATGGTGTACCTCAATCCCATCTATCCACATTAATTTATTGGGCAATTATAATATTTCTATTGGTGTCAACTAGGGATGGTAGGGTGGGATGGGGATCTCATTCCCCATTCTCATCCCTGGCCAAAAATTTCACTCCCATCCCCGTTAAAAATTTCAGTCCCACCCCCATCCCTGTCCCGCCCCGCCCCCGACTAGGTTCTCTTGATTCTCAATATCACAGTTCCAGGATTAAAAAAAAAAAAAATCGCAGCTCCATTTGTTAATCCATGCTTCAAAAGTTGTGTTCATCAATGCTTTTCTAACCAAGAAATTAAAATTAATAAAAACTAAATAAATAAATGCACAATATAATTCTCAAAAAAATATATATATATAGCAGATAAATTGTTTAAAAAAAATCTAGATTTATATAAGTATGAAGGCGGCATGGAATATAAATAATATTTAATAGTACATATTATATATACTATTATATTATGATGCATATTATATGTAATATCATAATGGTATACATAATAAATATATTTCAGACACGTTAGGTAAGGTTCTCTCTCGTGCTCATATTTTTAGAGAGAGAAACTCATATGAAGCCCTAATTGCAAGTGTGTTCAAAGTCAATGGCGGTCGTGGTTAGACTATGTTATCTCTTTTTAGTAAATATATTTGATTTGTAATTTTTTTTTCTTTTTTCTAAAGGTGATAGGAATAAAACACAAACTCAAGACTTGGTCAAAGACGCATCAAAGATTATTCCAGAAATTTCTCACCCTTGTAACAAACAAAACCAATCAAACACATGGCAGTAAGATAAGCATAAGTTCTTAGAAATGTTCATAAGGGAACGAGTAATGCATGCATATAAAAGAAGAAATTCGCTCACAAAAAAAAAAAAAAAGGGAAAGAAAAAAGCTTGATAAAACAACCAATCACAACAAAACATCTCTCACAACAAATTAATAAAAATCTCACAACAAATTAACAAAAATCAAAGTCTTACCCTGTGATGCTAATTAAGCATGAAGGCACAACAAATATCAAGCCAAATCCTTCAACTTGTCGTTAGTGATTTGATCCATACGTTTTATCATCTCACTTGTCAAGTAGTTCTTCGAATCGCCAACCTTACCTTGCCTGAAAAATGTGCTGTTTGGTATCGTGACTGGAGCACCTTCATTGTAAGATCCAATCTTATTCACCTCCAAATTGCTCATATTCTCAAAGCTACACAATTCTACTATTTTACCCACCACGCCTTCACTCTCTTCCTCTGAGGAAAAAGGGTGGCCTAAGAACTCTGCCAATCTCTTAGCAATAACAAATGGTTCACTCTTCATGTCCTCGTATTTTAAGAAGAGCACTCTATCGGGGCATTCCACACTTGCTCTCCAATACCCTAACACATGATCCCAAAATGGTCCATATGGTGAGACCCCTCTACAGAATTGGTCAAATGCCTCTTCTATGGATAGGACTGGTTGTTCTTTGAGTCTGAGCTTACATACAAAGTTCCACAAAGAAACAAACGTGTCCTTTGAGTCACGGAACACGTAAACAATGCGACAACCAGAGTCTCTTATGGATTTTGGCAGTGAAGTATAAGGAACATGGGTAGCCAAGAGAGGAAGGTCAAGATTCGAAGTTGGGTTTTCACTTGCATACATCTCCACGGTGGGTACACAACCATGAGAGTTTGTTGTGAGCAAAGGGTGGTTATGAAAATCATAGCGCTTTCGATTTGATATTGCAAAAAGAAGGGCCTTAAACCAAGTGGCGCCACATTTCGGATGGGTGGCCAGAAAAACATGTGTAGCTCGAGCCTTGAAGTGTTGCTGGATGGTTATGGTTCCTTGAAGGGCCTTTGTAGGATACCAAAAGCCTTCATAGAGGTGAAGACTCTCATTTATCCATTCTTTTTCTCTAGGCAGGGTTGAGACCAATTCTATATATTTTTGGTAGGTTTCTTCATGATTATTGTTGTCTTTGAGGGAATCAGAGTTTTGAGTAGGGAATGAGGCTGCCATAGACCTAGAGAAAGGATGGAATGTATGTATATGTTGGAGAAGAAAATTAAACGTCATTTATAGATGATAATGAAGGAAATTGAAAATGAGAGATTGAATTTGTTAGAAATTTGTCTAAAATTCATTTATGACATGGCAAAAATCTATTGATTACTTGTTATGGGATTTGGTAATTGGCTAGACTGATGTGGGTTTTGGTCATTGGATGAGAGACTCGTGCTTTGAATGGTAAAAAGAAAAGCCAATGAGAATGAATGTGCTCGCTGTCAAATTAATTATGCGTGCTAGACGTAAAAGAATGACTTTGTCGCTGAATGCGTATGCAATGTAAGGCGGCAAGGAAATATATAGTAAAGGCCAAGAAATGGGGTGTAGATGAGATATAAATGGTTGACTTAAAAGGCAGTGGTTTTCCCTTTGGCTGAAGACTGGTTTTGGTTGCGTGATGATCATCCGAGAACCATCCGAGCAAGAGAGAGACAATATTCGGATCAAGATAAAATATTAGTTTTGTGTACGTGAGAAAAAAAAAAAAAAAAAAAAATTTGTGTGTACAATCTTGAAGGTAGAGTTGAAGTTTGCCTTTGGGTGAATTTTCTTCTTTATATAAATCATATATTATTTAAGTATTTATTGAGAGTATTGTGTTGAGTTTGCTTTGTTGGTAAGTGAGTGGTGTGAGAAGAGAGATTATTGTAAAAAAGAACTAAAACGTTTTTCATTTTATAATCTTCTTCTTTATAGTAATACAATTCATCATTATCCGTGAAAAGTGAAATCGTTTTCTCTTCAACTCCATTAAACGACATAAGTCACAAAAAGTGCTAGTTGACATAACGACCCATTAATGTTGTTCTTGTAATACTTGCACCAATCTCTTTCTAAACTCATTACGTAATTCTTTTCCCGCTGGAAGTCGCATTGTAGTACTTTATAAAAGTTCATTCGGTGAATTACGTACACATCGTATATGTACTTCAAATAGTATTTGATAGGAATACGTCCTCTTTACTAGTTTCTTACAAAAGTTATAAAATAACAATTTCATAATACAGATTTTATAATCATCCTGTCTGCAGTCGAAACAAATTCTCTTTTTCTTGTGACATGCACGAGTCATGGCTCATGTGGAGATAGAACTGAATTTTTTGAACAGATTTTACTGGTGAAAAGGATATTGAATTATTGAATGATTTCTAAGCAATGGCCATGATGCTCTCATCAAATCTCATCTAAATGAATATTTTGATTTCAACTTTCAGAAGACTTAATTTATAAATTTTTTTTATTATTATTAAAAATAATAATAATAATAATTTAGGTGATTTCAATTGGTGTGATAAAAGGGTATTCCATCACTCTCTAACAAGTTGTTTACAGAGTTCTTTATATTAAAAATAACAGCTAGTGTGTTCGGCTACTTGTCCACGTACATATAATTATTCATGTACGTGTAAGGTAAAAGAAAAAGTCACCTCCACAATAAGATATAAAGAAATAGCTAAATAGCTAAGGTAATCAGTTGGTTGAAACTAGTGAGAAAATAAAATTTAGAGAAAGAACTACCTATAAATCTGATGTTTTTCTTCTCTAACGTATACTTTCATTAAGGTAAAAGAAAAAGTCACCTCCACAATAAGATATAAAGAAATAGCTAAGGTAATCGGTTGGTTGAAACTAGTGAGAAAATAAAATTTAGGGAAAGAACTACCTATAAATCTGATGTTTTTCTTCTCTAAAGTATACTTTCATTCTTCTCTGATCCATGGCAGCCTCATTCCTGACTTCGAAATAGCATAAAAAAAAAAAAGAGGACATATGAGTCTCATCTGAACGTGACATTAAATTTGTTAAAATAATTTCTTAAATTCTTTTTTTTGACCTTTGTGTTTTTCAAGAATAATAATAATATTTTTTTTTTCATAATTTATTCAAACTTGAATATAAGTTATTCTTATCTTTTCTCGTAACTAATGTTATTATTATTATTATTATTATTATTATTATTATTATTTTCTCACGTTTTTCCAAACAAACAAAGTTAAGCCCAATAGGAATAGAGTTACAAGTTGGACTGGCCCAATCCAGCCTAGTCTCAACCCAATCTCAACTCGAATCGGATTGGGTTGGGCTAACCCGAATTGTACCTAACATGGGTTATGGTAAAAACCCAGCCCGAATATTTTCAAACCGATCAGGTCGGGTTGACAAGTTGAGTTTTTTTTTTTTTTTTTTTTTTAAATAATAATAATAATTTTAGCTTTTTTTTGAAAATTTATATCTATATATATATATATATATATATATATATATACATATTAGATTATATTATTATTAAAAAACAAAAATTTTTTAGGGCAAATCGTTTCAGAATGTCTGCCAGAATCAAAAGTTCAAAACCCACATCGGCATATCATTTCGAATTGTCCATAAAATCAAAACCCATATCTTTCAGTTTCCATTGCCCACTGTTCCAGTTTGGGTTCGCCGTTCGCAAAGTTTCAACTGCTGTCTCTCAACTCTCAAGCTTGCCCCCCTCTCATCTCTCAAGCTTCGCCCATGAACGTCGGCAGAAAGAGAGAGAGAAAGAGAAAGAAAAAGAAGAGAGAGAAAGAGAAAGAAGAAAGAAAAAAATAATAATAATAAAAAAATAAAAAATAAAAATTAAGCCCCCCTCTCAACTTTCAAAGCTTGCCCCCCTCGCAACCCTCAAACTTCGCCCATGGACAACGGCAAAGAGAAAGAAGAGAGAGGAGAGAGAAAAGATAAAAAAATAAAATTTGGGTTTTGGGTTGGGTTCGGGTTGAGCCCGAGCCCAACCTAAACATGAATCCGATTTATGAATATAAGTCCCAATTTTAAAATTTTTGAGTTGGACTTAGGTTAGGCTGGGTTAATCCGCCCAAGTTGCAGCCTAACTGAGGAGATAACATAGCAGGGAAGCCCGACCCAATCACAAAACCATATTTCAAACAGTGTCGTCAGAAGCGATTTTTCTCACAATAGACCAGAGAGAGAGTAAAGATTTCTCTGATTGAAGTTGAAGATAGGGTTCGATCATACAATATATATTGAATTGGCAGATCGAGAGCCAATTGAGGTTCGAAAATCTCTTCGATTGTGTTGTACACCAAAGCAGAAGTAAGGCTGAGTTTGCAGATTAGGAAGGATCTTTCTTTCTGCAGTGATGAGCAGCCCTAAGCCTAGGTTAGTTTTTATCTCTTCATCAATTTACATGAATATATATATATATATATATATAACGTAGTGGTCCATGTTTTTCCTCTGCAACGCATGCATTAATTCATCTTTCTCTTCATGGAAGCCTCAATCCCCTCCCAAAAGTCTTATTCTAGCAAAGACAACGAACATGAAGAAGCTCACAGTACCGAGACTTACCAAAAATATATGGAGTTGATCTCAACCCTTCCTAGGGAAAAAGGTTGGATAACTGAACATCTCCACCACTATCAAGGCTTTTGGTACTCCAAACCAGTGCTTCAAGGTATAGTTACCTTGCAGCAACACTTGGAGACTTGTAGTCCGACTGATGTTCTCTTAATCACGAATCCAAAATCCGGCACCACTTGGTTTAAGGCCCTTCTTTTCGCTATAATGAACCGGAACCTCTACGATTTTGATACCCACCCTTTGCTCACAAAAAACCCACATGAATGTGTACCCTTCTTGGAGATGTATGCAAATGAACACCCAACTAATTCCAACCCTGACCTTCCTCTCTTGTCTACACATATTCCTTATACATCACTGCCCAAATCCATACTAGACTCTGCTTGTTGTCGCATTGTTTATGTGTTTCGTGACCCAAATGACATGTTTGTTTCTTTTTGGCACTTTGTAAGTATTATGTTTTTCTTTTTGGCACTTTGTAAGTATTATCAGACCCAAAGAAATGCCATTCCTATCCATAGAAGAGGCATTTGAGCAATTCTGTAGAGGGGTCTCACCCTATGGACCATTTTGGGATCATGTGTTAGGGTATTGGAGAGCAAGTGTGGAATGCCCCGATAGAGTGTTGTTCTTAAAATATGAGGACATGAAGAGTGAACCCTTTGTTATTGCAAAGAGAGAGGCAGAGTTCTCAGGCCGCCCTTTTTCGTTAGAGGAAGAGAATGAAGGTGTGGTGGGTAAAATAGTAGAGTTGTGTAGCTTTGAGAATCTGATCAATTTGGAGGTGAATAAGATTGGATCTTATAAAAAAGGCATACCAGCTGTGGTCCCAAACAGTACATTTTTCAGGCAAGGTAAGGTTGGTGATTCGAAGAACTACTTAACAACGGAGATGGTAAGGCGTATAGATCAAATCACAAACGACAAGTTGAAGGATTTGGTTTGACATTACTTGTTCCTAGCTTGCATACTTGGCATCGCAGGGTAAGACTTTGATTTGTGTTCTGTGCGAGAGATGTGTTGTACATTGTGCTTGGCTGTTTAATTTGTTAAGTATTTCTAGCAGATCCTCCGGAAGTATCATATGTGTGCGCACGCTCGTGTTGGGGGCGTTGAAAAATAATTATTGTGTTAATTTTTATAACTAGTGTAACATCAGTTACCATTTGTTGTTGAAAATTTGTGTTTATTGATGCAATTCTATTTTTTTTTTGGTGAATAAGTGAATAAATTACCTATAGGAAATATATACTAGTAGGGCATACCCTAGGCAACAACCCACAACATTGAGTGAGCGAATTATTTTTTTATCTTTTTGGCGATTTCTACTTGAGTAGCATAGCTCCGGAAGAACCAACAAAATTAGCCGGCCATCCTTGGATCTTGTTTGAATGAAGACAGGTGATTAATTACCTCACCAAAGATGTAGCTTAGCTAACAGAAACATTAGTTGAGACTTGTCTTCTCTTTCCCAACTTAACATTAATTGCGATTGTCTTCATTTAACCAACCTAAGTACTATAAAGCATTCTCAATGTTCAAGCCAAATTCAACTAACTTTCAGACCCTTCTACCTTCCTCCTCTTTTG